CAAATTCACAAAATCAACCAAATTTTATTACATATAATCTAATGTTGCCCCCTCATTCTCCATTAAGATTTAAGTCCCACAAAATTTTATTAAATACTTTTTCCATTTTCTCCCCATAATAAAACCGAAGATCAATCAATGGCTATAAGGCTCTCCCTCTGTTCAGCTCTGCCACTGCCCTTAAGCCATGGCTCATCAACTAACAAAGTGCCCAAGAAAATTATATTTTTTATGTGTTCTAAAAATGGTATATCAGTTAATCCTCAGATCAAATTGTCTCATCATGATCACAAGAAGAACAAGGTCCTTTTTATTCTTTTTGTTTCTATTAAGGAAAAAACTGATCTTTTTGAATTTTTGTTAATTTTGTTTTTATGATTTTCAATTTTTGTTACAGATATTTGAGGATAGGTCAGCTGGTATTGTTTGCTACAGAAATGAAAATGGGGAGATTACTTGTGAAGGTTATGATGAGGGCCCTCGTTTTCACCAGCAAATATCAGTATGTTCTTGTAGTCCAAGGTACCTATAATAATTATTATTATTATAGTGAATAAATGGAAATAAATAGTGTTGATTTAATTTGTGACTGCAGAGATTTGGAGATAATAGAGTTGCTGCAGAAGTGTTGGGTTCAGGTGGGTGATGACTGATGAGAGTGAGTTCACAAGGCAGCAGATCACAAAGGTGTGGCTGGGCACAAGGGATTTTAACTTTGTAATAATTTGGAAAAATATATCTGTTTTTAAATAAATAAAATGTTATTTGACTTCAGGGTAAAAACTAGTACAGAGCCCGTGCGATGCACGGGGTGCACAATTTTAAGGCTATTTATCCAGAATTATAATTTGATACATGAATACAAAAAAATGTACAGGATATATGCGAGGCACGAGATCTATTTATTTGGAGAATATTATATTATAAGATACAATATTCAATAAAAGTTTTATAATACACAGGAAAATTGTATAATAAGATAGTATTCGACAAAGAAACAATCATATATTATTAAAGACCTCCTTGTACACAACATTATGAGTTTGATTTTCCATACAATAATAATAAGATATTTTGTAAAAAGATAAGAAAGAATTTTCAATCTACAAAAACTTTAAACATTAGATGTATTTACGTAAATCAATAACTATATAGACAACTAAACCCTTCAATTTTCTCCTATTCTTTTTAAATGTCATTTTGGCTTTATCAACCATTAATCAAATAAATGACATTTTGGATCTTTTGTACATATTTTTTTTATTTTTACCCTCACTTAGCTAATGAATACACTACACCTTTTCATATCAACTCTTAATTAATAATCATAAATTAAAAATTTTTGGGTAACATAAAATAGTGTAAATAACGAAAAAAATCAACAGAAAATAGTGTAAATAACGCAAAAAAAAAAAAAAAGAAAAAAAAGCAACAGAGAATAGTGTAAATAACGCAAAAAAAAAATCAAGTTTTCAGTATATACACTAACACGACCCACATGACGAAATCAGTGATCGAACGGTCTAAATTGGTCAAAATGATTAAAGGTCATGTATTTCACCTATAAAAGGCAAAATTTCCCGGAATATTTAGTTTTCATAAGATTCACCTGCACATTTCTTGTTTTTCCTCAACTTTGTTCTGTTCGATTCTGACGAATGATTCACAAATTAACCTTGTGTGTAAATTGTTTGTTTTCAATCGACGATACATATTTCCATAAATCACGTAAAAACGCCGATCTTATGTTTTTTGTTCGAATTTCACTTTTTTCTCAAATACCAAACAAATTATTGGATTTGTATTGTATCTTTTATTTGGATTTCAAAAAATAATACAAATGGAAGTTTATCTCATAAATTTGAAATGCACGTGTACAATTGAAATTTGTTCTAATTTTGAGTGCAATTTTTAGTTATTCGAATTCATTACACTTTAACTTATACTAAAGTGTCTGAAAATTTACATAATCCTTCATTTAAGAATGATTAGATACTTGTCGATTTTGAGATATGAATTGCCGAATTTTAGGACATAGAAATTTGAATGGCTGATTTTAATATTTGAATTTAAAAAAACCATGAAATCAGTTAACATTAAATGCTATCCAATTTATAAAAAAAAAGAACAAATTTTAATAAAACTTTTCGAAAAAAGAATGTAATTAATATTTCTGGATTTTTTTTGATACTTTCAGTAAATTGTTATTTATATTATATATATATATATTGTTGTTTCATTTTAATATTATATATATATATATATTAGATGAATTCTAATAATCAAACAAAAATGAAACAAAATAATCATATTGCCACGAAAAAAAACATAGCCGATGCCATTTCAATTCACAACCCCCAAAAAAACAAAAAAGAAAAAAATAAAAATAAAAACCAAAAAAAAAAAAAACTTACAAAATTTCCCTAACTTTTTTCCCC